ACAAAACGGAGGCGGGTGGCTGGTGAGATGGTGGGTGGAAGCGCTGTGCACACCGAGCTGTGCTGTGCCCAGCCCGTCTGCTTCGCCCAGCCTGACTCGGCTGGAAGTCGGCTCTGTCAGTCGGCTCCGTGTCCCGGGACAGTCCCGGGTGGGTGAGGGCAGCCCGGCGCTGGGCTCAGCAGCACCCACATAAGGGAGCACGGCCCCACTGTCTGCACGGTGGTTCTGTAGTGAACTGGGCGAACGTTCCGAAGTTCATCAGATGTGGAAATATAAGGGCACATAAATATTTAACGCAGTGAGGTCTGCGGGAATTACTCTGAATTACTATGAAGTGCCCTCGGGCACCGCCCCGTTAAAATCGATTCGAAACGTTACGACTTTAACCCTCCCCTCCCCAAAGCCCTGCAAATCTTTTTGGGGCCGCTCTCCTCCGCGGCTCGTTCCAGGGACGCTCAGCTCAGCCGGCTGCGGTGCAGCTCCGCGCTCGGCCCCGGCCCGGCTCTGCGCGGACCCCCGGCCCAGTTCGAAGAGGGCGCCGGCGGCGGCGCGGGCTGACGCGGCCGTCATGTGAGCGGTTCCGCTCCCAGCGTTCAGCGAGGGCCGCTCGCCCCACCCCGCCGCTCTGCCTCCTCTGCGCGGCTCAATAGGGGAAGAAAAAAAAAAAAAAAAAAAAAAAGAGAGACAGCCAGGAGAAATGCGAGAGAGAGGAGGAAAATAAGACAGGAAAAAATCCTCCCGTGAGAGGACAGCGTTTGCTCCGGGGAGAAGCGAAAGGGGCTTTAAAAAAAAAAATTCCCCTTTCTACTCCCGCTGTGTTTTCTGGAGAAGCCGAGAGGATTCAGCTGCCTGGAAACCTAATGTGAAAAAAAAAAAAAAACCAAAAAGGGGGAAAAAAAAAAAAGAGGGGGGGGGGTTTGGATCGGACCCCCCCGGCCCCGCAGGGAGGAAAGGAGCGGAGGAGCGGCGGAGCGGCGCGGAGGCTCCGACGAGGGACGGGGAGCGGCGGAGGCGCGCGGGGACAGGCGAGGAAGAGACGTTTCCCGATCCTCCCCGCCGCGGCTTCGGGGAGGTTTCCGCGCCTGCAGCCCGTGCCTTGGATCTAAAGAGGATTAATTTTTTTTTCTTTTTTTTT